AACGTCGTCAAAATGTTCGTATTAATCCTTTCAAGAATGAGTTTATTTGTACGTAGGCACATATATATGGATATGTATGTATGTATGAGCGTTATCGTAGGGTAGGAATGTCTTTGAAGTAATCGCTCAGTCTTAAAATGTTTCGTTCGTTTATCAAGTATAAAAAACGTGAGGGACAAAGGTAGAGATAATAATAACGATCGCTTGACGTTTTTCAAGGGAAGTGTTAATACGCTCGTCCCCTTCTCTCTGGTGACAGGCGAACTTGCCCGTCTTTTATTTTGTTTGTGGGGCTTGAAAAGGTCATTTGGGAATTCACTCCCGGATATGATTCGGGCCTTTCGATTGGACGACGATTAAATTTCGCGTCGGCTCGCGAAAAGGTCCGTAAAAGAATTTTGTTTCTGAGACTTGAAGATTATTTAAATTTTGTTTTTTAAATGTTTCCTAGTTTTCTGTTGCATTTCGCATTAAGGTGTGAAATTTCACGAGTTTTTTGGGGAGATTCGTTTTTGCGTGTGTGTTAAGCAAAGTTTATAAATTCGAGTCTTTTTAATTTCTAACAAAATCAATGAGTCAGTTCTTAGCATTTGAATTTTAAATCTAGATCTTGTTTTGTTCACTACAGCCTTACACAAAGGACGGAAGCCCGTTGGTACATAAAGAGCCGTAGGCAGTGCCAGATTTATATATAGGCTAACTATTATGAGCTGCAGCCCAGTGCGCCCAAGACTAGAGAAGCCCCTAGTCTTGGACACCTGATAAAACTAAAAATGAAAGATATAAGAACAGAGTTTTCTTTATTTTCAATTTTAATTGGGACTCCTTTGAACTAATTTAAAACAATTTAGAGTGTTTGGGCTACTCTATTTGGAGTTGAGCTTTTAAATTCAATGGGGCTTTTTCAAGGAACCCCATTTAGGTTTCAGTGTAATACAGGCTCTCTATTCTAGATACATTCCTGTGGGATGTAAGGTTCGGATAAAAAATATAAAGTTGCTAATGAAATAAATTGGAGGCGTTTTCAAAATCATTATAGATTTTAGTTTCATCTTTTACACCAGAAAAGCTTCATATAAAAATATATCTCTTTTTTACATAGACATATGGGAGGAGGCAGCATATGAGGGGGGCCCCAAATTCTATTAGCCCGGGGGCCTCTTAAAGCCTAAATCCCGCCCTGTTAATAAAATTCCATCAAAAGGTTTCTTTGATAAACAAAACACTTGGCGGACGTAGTTGTAGACCTATCATGTGTTATTCCTGGACCATTTAGAAAATAATAACTCCCTTCACTACTCCCGCAAATTCGAGAAAAATATTTTCGTGAGTCAGCGTGAAATTATTTTATAACCAATAAAAAATTTGCATTCACAAAAGATCGCACTCTATGTGAAATTAGATTTTGAATCCTTTTTACGGATATAAAAATAGAATCATACGGCTTCTTCCGGTTTAAAAGAATTTTGAGGGCCAGTTTGATCTACACGTGCGTACACACACACACACACACACACACACACAATAGAAGAGAATAGCCAACAGCCGCCGACTAAGGCCTTGTCCAAGCACTCACAGAGATATTTGGTTGAACGTCATAAAGTCTGTCCACACTTGATGAAACAAACTTGACCGCAAGGAAAATTGAATATTTTACTTATTGTATACTTTTGAGAAGATGAATGATATTTCAACTGACTTTCTGCTTTTACTTTTCCTTCAGAGAATAATCTTTTTTTTTGTTTCATTTAAATTTAAATGGTGTTTTGTTTTTGTCGTTGGTAAATGTTTTGGATTCCAACACTCAGATAACAAGAAAAACCTGGATAGACAGATCCCGACATCTAAGAAAAAAACATCCACATCTAAAATAATTTCTAACAGAGAAACTAAAAATAAATAGCACAATAGGTTTGTCGTAAACAAAAGTTTCTCTGAGAAATGGGTTAATAAGAGAAATTTAAAAAAGGGGTAAGTGTCCGCTTTCAGTCGTGTTTGTTGAAATGGGGTCCCTTCGAACGTGAAGAGATGCAGCAACAACAAAACGTGTTACTTATCAACCGTTGCTGCTACACACTATAGCCAATCTGACAAAGCATAGCACAGAGTTGGACTTGTAGATCTTTTAAACTTAGTATATTATTTCCGTTTCTTTCTTTTTTAAGGAACGAAATTTTCATTGATACCGTTTACGTTTTCTGGAAATGCTTTTTTTGTTTCGAGGAATACTATTTATAATTTTAACTTTTACAGAATTGAAACAAAAAAAGATACTTTTTAAATATTTTGTTTTAGTGACGATAATCAAATTTATAATCTTGGTGACCCAAGCAATCAGGTAAGTTTAATAATGGGAAAAGAAAACATTTTTAAGTTTTATTTACGTTAAAACACCAGATTTTACACTACAGTATTTATTAACAATGGTTTTTCAATTGCTTTTAGACATTTTTTACACCCCTTTAATTCAGAGGTTCGTAATAAAAGTAAAAATCGCGGTAAATTCAGCAGGAATTAATTTTACAGGTAAATTTTGCTTTTTAGTACCGTCTAAGTTCTCTCTTCCAGGTTCAATGTTTCTGTTGTTAGAAATTAAATGAAAAAAAAAAAAATTTCAAAACAATTTTATTGATACAACTATGTCGCAATTTTTTTTCGATAAAGGAAGAATCATTAAAATAAAATCTAAAATCTGACCAACATATGCTCATCTTGGTTGTTTTGTTATTAACACACACTGGCTTATGTCAGAGGGTAATCTCCCAGACGAGGCTCTGACGAAGGGCAGACTCTCGTCTCGGGAAACTGACTCTGTTTTTACGTGGTCTATAGGGAATTTTTGTCCGAGCCTACGGGCCCGGATACCCCACTTTAAACTCGGCCTTGTGCCACATCTTGCTGTGTGGGGCAGCGGATAAATATTGCACACACACACACACACAAAATTTGTTTTTTAGGCCATTGTGTCCGCCCAGGAGAAGTTACTTTTTTTTTTTTTTCTAGCCTTGTTGACCATTCGATCCTTACTAGGTGTCACCATACAAAATTCGACATTAATGTCATAAAATCAATCAACCAAATAATCACATTGGCATAGCCGCTATGTCAAGCAGAGTAACCTCGCTATGCCATAGCGAGGTTACTCTGCTTGACCATAACTACTGAATCTTGAGTTCGCTCCTCACTGCGTGGCCCCATTCTAAATTCGACATTAAATAATTCTACCATAAAATCAACTAATCTAAACTAAACTCAAAGAGACACGTAGCCAAGTAGCTTAAAGCGTTGGTTGCTTAAAAATACATTTGATTCATTGGCGAGTTCAATCCAAGGAACACGTAAAAATAGCTAAGAACATTTTTAAATTTTTAGGTAACAAGTTTTGTAGATAGCATTCATGAAGACACAGTGTTTGTCAGAATCGAAAAATATTTATTTTTTATAATTTTAAAATGGGACTCCTGTTCATAATAGAAATACAGTGTCAAATCAAACTTTTTAGCGGATGGTGTTGTAGTGGTTAACGAATTCAAATGAGAAATTGGAGTGCCAAGTTTGAATTAAGTCGTTATATTCATTTATGCGCAAATAACGACGGGAAAGGTATGAATATATTTTCTGTTCCCATCTATGAGTTAAATTATTCCCTTGTGAAAAAAAAATTATAATCCAAAATATGCTTCAGTTTCAAATAATCCACATAGGGTTGATAAGCAAAATAAAAATCAGTCAACCCCTGACTTCTTATAGAGTTACCTGTACTTTGTTTTTATTTTCATATCAAGTTTTTAGTTATCAATGCTGCAAACACAAACTACTGAGGTTGGCCTTTTTCTTAATAATATGCATTGTGACTGTCAGTTTCATGCCTGCTGCAATCAGGCAGATTTGATTTCTATGTCCACAGTATCTGTCTATCCACCTAAAACCGAGTATATTTAGATAACCGTCCTTTGTTTAAATATGTTTTATTGAATGGAATGGATAAGGAATGTTTGTTAAGCCTTTTTATGAGTTTCTACTGGGGTTGCATAAGTCATTTATATTGACTTATGTACATGGGGCACCTGGAGGCGGTGTAATGGTTAATAAGCTTGTCTCACTAGAACAATTATGACTTTGTAGTGAGTTCAGTTCTCACTGGGTGCCCTATACTTTCAACCTTGTGCTATGCTTTGAAAATCACTATATTCCCTTATGTACATGCAAATGCCCTTGGGAAAGGTATGGATCCACCCCTCCCAATTAGTAAGACTTAAACCATTATTATCTATCCTTCCAACCAAAAAAAATTCTTACAATCTAAAAATATTTTCTATCTTTAAATAACCTGCAAAAAGTTGATAAATCATAGAAAACAATCAATCATGCTTTTGGTACCATATGTTGGGAACTAAATCTCAGTTTTTGATATAACTATTCTTGAATTTATCAGAGAAAATCATCATCTAGACCTTTATTCCCATGTTCTTTGAATGCTGAATTCATTTTTGGCACTGCTTCCTAAATCTAAATGGGTTAAATGCAAAACTTGAGCTTTTTCAGTAATTTTGGCTTTTCAGTGCAGATCATGGGTTTCTATAAACCGCTATTTTCCTCTAAAGTTTGTTTTTGTTTTTAATCAATTCATTCAATGCCACTAAGATGCAAGGGGCAAGGTGGGATAAATGCCATTCACCCCAAAAGAAGGTAAATGATGCAAGGGGCTACTGGGAGGAAAGAGAATGAAAAAGATTTTGGAAGGAACCAGAAACCCAATCCTAAACAGGAAACAAGGGATAAACCTCTACTCGTCTATTCACCCCAAGCAAGGTGATAATGCCACTAAGATGCAAGGGGCTACTGGGAATGAAAGAGAATGAAAAAGACTTTAGAAGGAACCAGAAACCCAATCCTAAACAGGAAACAAAGGATAAACCTCTACTCCTTTTCAAAAGACCAGGGCGGGGTGTGAACTGGCTGAACCTATCTACTAATATTAATTCACTTTCATAATTGGCTTACGGCCACATCATGTTGAAACACTAGTTCCCGTAAAATCACTGAAGTTAAACAATGTTAACCTGGGTCAGTACTTTGATGGGTGACCACTTGGGAAAAAACCCAGGTACTGTAAGCTTGGATGTGTGGGTGGTGTAATGGATAATGGCTCAGAATTGTTAACTGGAGAACAGAGTTCCAATTCTGGTCAGATTCGTTATATTCACTTACATGTAAATACCCTTGGGAAAGGGATGAATCCACCTCTTCTCCCCTCCCCCAGCTATAGGTTAATTAGTAAGACTTGTATCACTAGACCATTGTTATCTCCAAAAAAAAAAAAAAAAATTCTGACAATCTAAAAAAAAAAAAGAAGATATTTTCTGACTTTAAATAACTTGCAAAGGGTTGATAAACCATAGAAAATGAATCAATCAATTTCATAAAATTTTCTGAAAATCATTTAGGGATCTCAAAAATCCCAACTAATCTGCTTTGCTGAGACTTTGTGAAAAAGTAAAATCTTATTATTTACAATTTATGAATTTTCAAACAACGCTTAAAAAATATGAAATAACATTTTTGTCATGTATGTCTTAAATATTTTTCATGAAAAAGTGGTTATTATTTGCACTACAGTTAAATTTGGCTTTAGTTTGTAAAATGACAGATGAATAATCAGTTTGAATCTTGGCCGGAGACTTTGCAATGTATTTTTGCTTGTTTCTTTTGATTAATTTAGAAGTTGTTATATTTGTGAGAAAACATTTAGATGTTTTTGTTTTCAAATTTAGGACAAACATCTTCAGAAAGTTGTCAGCTTCTAATGATGTGTCAGACCACAATGACCCCAGCATGCATCTTTGTTGGGAAGTATCTGAAAAATCACACCACAGGTTGACCCAAGCCTTGGAAATTAAATTGGGTAGACAAAATTGTTTAGAAGCCTTCACTGTTTGTGCAATATGAATAGATACGATTCTAAGCGAGCATTTGCAAGTGAATCAGATGTTGACATTAAGTAACCCATAGGGATGTTGGTATGCGATTAAAATAAACCAAAACAATAATTTTTTTTTTAATTTGTAGTAATTTAATTCCCATTGTAGGCTTTTTGATTTTTTTTTTAATCAATTCACCCCAAGGAAGGCAATAATGCCACTAAGATGCAAGGGGCTACTGCAAGTGAAAGAGAATGAAAGAACCAGAAACCCAATCCGAAACAAGAAATAAACCTCTAGTCCTGTTCAAAAGACGAAGGAGGAATGTGAATTGGACTATAGGCAAAACTATCTACTCCTATAGTGAACATCATGATAAAGTTTTAGTTTGTAGATGTAATTTAATGAATTTTCTGTTGCAGGCTTTTAGGTTTGGGATGAACATTGTTGTTGGCTGTTAATTTGTAGTTTCAATTTAATGGAAATTGTAGGCTTTTATGTTTGTGATAAACATCTTGAGAAAGGTGTTGTCTTTTTTTAATCAATCAAACAATCTATTTTTATTTTGTCTGGACATTTTTTCAGGATATGTTGCTTATCATGTTTCTTTTTGTCCGTTTGAAGTTGTTATACTTGTGTGAAACTATTTTAACATTTTTGCTTTCAGGTTTTGGAAATGCATCTTCAGAAAGTTGTAGGTTGAAACGAAAACCAAATCCTGCTATAAAGAAAGAGTTTTTCTACTGAACATTTGTCGGACTTTTCTTTACAAAAAAAAATAAAGGAGTGATATTACTTCACATTTGAAATCTATTTGTCTAGAACAACAACACTGTAGCTTTAAGTTTGTGCAAATCCTCACAGAATCCTCTTGTTGAAAACTTTTATACACACTTAATAGAAAAAAAAATCTATCGGAAACTGAGACTTTAAAACATACATGGCAATCCACTTTCATAAAATAAAAGAAAAAAGAAAATTGCTGGGAACTTTTGCACACTCGTAACAAAAACATTTATCTGAAAATAGAGACATGAAAATATACATGGGAAGCCACTTTCAGACATCTTTTTTTGAACATGGATTAAAACTTACACTGTAAATATATTTAAAAAATTGTTTAAAAAGAAGCATAGCTGCTGAAATGGAAGAAACACCTTCTTATGAATTCTGTAGCAAGGACTTTTCCACAAAAAGCTACTTAAAGCAACATTTGAGAGCAGATGTGGGAAAGACTCCATTTCCTTGTGAAGTATGTGGCAAAGCGTTTTTGCAAAAGAGTGACTTAAAGAGACATATGACAATTCATGTCAGAAAGGCACAACATGTATGTAAAGTCTGTAGGAAAACCTTTTCTTATGAGCGTAGCTTGAAAAACCATATGACTACTCATACTGGAGAGACTCCATTCCATTGTGATATATGTGGCAAAGCTTTTTCCACACAAAGTAGTCTGAAAAGACATTTGAAAATTCATACTGGTGACACTCCATACCATTGTGATTTGTGTAGCAAAGCATTTTCTCAAAAAAGTCACTGGAAAACACATATGACAACACATACAGGAGAAACTCCATTTGATTGTGAAATATGTAAGAAAGCTTTTTCTAGGAAAGATCACTTGGCACTTCATATGAAAACTCACACTGGAGAGACCCCATTTCCTTGTGAAGTGTGTGGAAAATCCTTTTATGAAAAAAGTAGTTTGAAAAAGCATGTAAGAACTCATACAGGAGAAACTCCATTTCCTTGTGAAGTCTGTGGTAAAGCCTTTTCTCAAAATAGTGTTTTGAAAAGACATATGAGAATTCATACTGGAGAGACTCCATTTTCTTGTGAAGTGTGTGGCAAAGCCTTTTCTTATAAGAGTAGTTTGAAAAGCCATATGACAACTCACACTGGGGAAACACCATATGTTTGTGAAGTATGTGACAGAGCTTTTTCCTATGAAGCTAGCCTGAAAATTCATTTAGCTACTCACACGGGAGAGACCCCATATTCATGTGAAATTTGTGACAAAGCCTTTTCTCAAAAGAGCCACTTGAAACGGCATATGACAACTCATACTGGAGAGACACCATTTGCATGTGAACATTGTGACAAAGCTTTTTCCTATAAAGCGACATTGGAAAGCCATATAACAATTCATACTGGAGAGACTCCATTTCCCTGTGATGTGTGTGACAAAGCTTTTTCTACTAGAGGTAGCCTAAAAAGACATATGGCAGTACATTCTGGAGAGACTCCATTTCTTTGTGAAGAGTGTGGAAAATCATATTCTGAAAACAGTAGCTTTAAGAAACACATGAGAACTCATGCAGTAGGAAATTTGTTTTTTTGTGATGTGTGAGATATTTCTCAAAAAAGGGTAATTTTGAAATGCATATGCTTACTCATACTTGAGAATGTTTTGATGTGCATTATGCAAAAATGTTTGTATTAATGACTGCAAAAGAAATGAGTAAAAGACGAGTTTCCCAAAGCGATATAGGCTTATTTTTTTATTTTGGATCTGTGTTTTTATTAATGATGACCTTAATGATTGTGATAAAAAGCAGTTGAAATTAAGATGAAAGAAATACGAACCAAAAGTTTATTATGTTTGACAATGCTTTATCTAATAAAAAAATTCAAGATAGTGTGATGACTACTGCTCCTAATGTAATAAAAAGCAAGTGAAATTAAAATGAAATAAATACTAGTCAAAATTAATTATGGTTGACAATTACTAGTAAAAAATTAATGGTTGACAATGCTTCATCTAATAATAAAATTCAGGATAATATTACTACTAATATTCAGTCAGTTATGTGCCATGCATGATACATGCTTTCGATACATGACTGATGAGGCAGATTCTTTCCCGCAGTAGGTTGCCATTTCTTTCTACGGTAGACCAGATGCCATCCAAGGCTATAGAACCTGGTCTGTCCTACTATTTACCCATAGCTTGGGGGAGAAGAAGAGGATTCATACCTTTCCCAAGGGTAATAGCACATAAGTGAATGTAATGGATTTGAAAGGAATTCGAACTCGGCTTTCCGATTCCTCAATCCGAGCCGCTATCCACTACTCCACCATGCCTCCCCACTACTAATATTACTAATGTAATAAAAAGCAAGTAAAATTAAGATGAAAGAAATACTCATAATGGCTTCATAAATAATAATAAAATTCAAAATAATATTACTTCTAAAGATTTTGTTTTATATATAGACTGATATTTGTCAATAATTGGGGATTGAACTGAATCCTAAATTCTTTAACCATGTAGACACGTCTGTAGGGTATAGAGAAAAAAAAAAAGATTTTTCTTTGATGTCAAATAGAGTAACTGTTACTTTTCAACAGTTTTTTTGCTTGCTTTTATCATCTGGGCAGATAAGGTAGTAATGGGAAAGTGGTTTTGTGGTGAATGTGCGTCTACAGAATCAAAAGAGGCCTCAAATCGCACGCAAACGTTTTTCAACACCAGTTACAGCCAGGTTTTTATCGTTAGCAGCATGGCAGTTTGGCATATCTAGCTAGATATATGGGCCTCTTTAAAACTGGTCAAGATCCGGATCTTTGCAAGATGCCTCATGCCAATAAAAGCTGAGGGAAAACAGCAGTTGGAAAGATAAGATGTCTTGTGAAGACAGTCCCTTGTGCACTTTTGTTCCTCAAGTTGCTGTGGTTTCTGGGGCTGGGTTATTTTTTTTTTTTTTTTTTTTTTAACCTCCCATCTCTGCCTATTATTCCCATAGTTGTTGGGAGAGCAATCGATTACGTGGTTTCCTCCCCAATCTCAACGGACTCTTTGCTTACATTGGTTTATAGTAATATAAATAACGTTTATTTATCCCTGTAAATTATTTTTGACAAGAGTACAAGAGAGTGGCACTCAATTTCCTCGAGTCTTTTGCATCTGCGTACTGTATTTGATGGTTAGTTTCCTTCTTTCCTATACCATTGGGATGGGATCAAAGAGTAGTATCTGTTCACTTCATCTCTAATAGTAATGGTGATATTAGCTATTTCCTTATATGTAAAGCTTTTGGCAACCAAATGGCTAGTGCTACTCAAGTTATGCTATTCTTCACTCCTCAACCATTGGACTGAGATCAAAGTGTAGTAACTGTTCTCTTGATTTCTAATAATAATGGTGATATTAGCCATTTCCTTATTTGCAACCATTTGGCATTAATTAATTTTG